TCCCATCCCTGATGGTCTTCACATTAAAATGTGTTTATATTTCTAATATTTTCTATATAAACTCTTAAAAGCCAAAATCATGTTTATATTTCCAAATATCATGCAAAATGGGGCTGTTAAACTGTTAAACTCCTTAACCTAATAAAGCCTAAAATTAAATTGAGAAACTGAGAACTGAGAAAGCCACAGTTTTGAACTCGGTCCCCTGGAGTAAATGGTCCTCTGTGTGTGCGCATAATGAACTTGGACGATCTTCAGGTGATAAAGGGCATCAGGTACATGTGCAGAGTATGACGCAGTGTCTCTTGCTGGCTCTCCACTTCTGCAGGTCGAGGACCTCATTCCCCATGCGGTGCTCGATGCTGCGGGACAGCCCTAAACTTTAACATGCATGAGATGCATTTTTTGCTAATTGATCGCTTGGTAAGAAGCGGCGGGGAAACACTCGAGACTATTCGTCATCACATTACTGTGATGCGCTGAAGGAACACGACAAACAAATAACGTAAACGACAAGCCAGCTCATGCTACCGAATGTGTTTGGACTTTCCGGAAGATGCGGCTGTTGGACGGAAAGGTGCGATGACAGGTCACGCACAATATCAAATAGGTCAACAACTATTTTTATTTTTCTTTCACGACCTAACGGTGTATACTCCCAAAACTTGAAGAAACGCAGGAGAAACCCGCCAAACAACCTTTTTTGTGTTAGCAGACCACCTCAACCTAAAATACATTTACGACTGGCGCCCTTTTCCGGCACTGCGAGTAGTCAAGCAGTCTTCGCAGCAGAACACCATGTTTATATGAATATGCAGTGGATTAAAAATTACAACTGAAACGAAAAAGGTAAATCAGAGATAGTATTGGATGAAACCTAATATGTTGTATCGGTTACGAAGAGATTACGTCGCATCAGTCTCCATATACCGCCGGCAACTTTGTGATCGGTTCCGGCGACAAGGAGATTGCTGTTCGGCCGGCTTTGCGTCATATATGATAGCCAAATCATCCCAAAATACATGTCGCCAGGAAGACCCAAATTGCAGGTGGATTCTGCTGGGGAATTGTATGATTTGTATGACACTGCACGCCATAGGCGCTGTGTGACAGGCAGGTCAGGGAGGACGTCCCAGTAACCATACGTAGAAGAGAGGGAAGAGGGAGAGGGAGAAAGGGGAGATGGAGAGAGGGGGGAGAGAGGGGAGATGGAGAGTGGGAGAGGGATAGAGAAATGGGGAGAGGGGGTGGAGAGGGAGAGTATAGGAAAGGGAAGGCCCACTCCACCTCGTTGTCACGAAACTATTTCGCCAGTTTTTTTTCATAAATAGTCTGAATTGCAGAGTGGTTTTTGACATCTCGAGAGCCCCCTCCCTTGCCGTTCATGATGTCAGCCAGCCGCTGATGCCCACCCCCGCGGACGTGTCGCCAGGGAGACGTAAACAGCGCAGCCCCACCCCCAACCAGCGAGCGCGCCGCCGCCGCCCCGCGGGCGCCAGTGCTACCCCCGGCCCCGGCGCGCGCGGCCGGCCGCGGGTACAGCACGGCCCGCGCCGCGTCATGCAGAGTTCCCGGTAAACGTCGTTATGACACCACATCGACCTGAGTGCAGGCGCTTTCGTTACACGCCGCGCGTTTTGTTTTTCTCCTCAGAGTGCAGGCCGGCGAGAGGAGGCGGCTGATGTAGGAAAATTCCACAGCAAGAGGGCATTGCGATCGGTGACCGGGCATGGACGGCAGCCAGGAAGAGGACGACCGGCAGGGCACCCCGGAGGTGCGGCGGCGGCCCATGTCCGGCCGGCCCGGGCAGCAGCAGCAGCAGCAGCAGCAGCAGCAGCAGCAGCAGCAGCAGCAGCAGCAGCAGAAACAGCAGCAGCCCACCGGCCGCGCCCCACCACCCCGCGCCGCCACCGCGCGCCCCGCCAGAAGCGCCCTCGCCCTCAGCGCGTCGCTCCTCTGGTGCGTGGCGCCCGACCAGGTTTCATGTCCCCGACGGGTCGGGCAGGGCAGGGCAGGCTCCCAGGCCAAGCCGACACGACAGCCCGCGCTCTGGACGTCACCCGGCTCAGCCGGCTAGGCTCTGGCGAGGCTCACCACAATAAGCACACATGGCGGCTGCCACGTACGGTGGCGCTGCGTGACGTAGGTCACATGTGTGTCCGCGTGTGTGTGTGACTGTATGACTGTGTGTGTGTCCACGCGCGGGTGCGTGGAGCAGGGATGAGCGCGTGCCCCACTCCACGCGACACACGGTCTTTAGCAAACATATCGAGTTAGTGGATTCATCGCCGAGTGATTCCGAGACTGATGCGGCGTGTTCCTGGTACTGGGAGCAGCAGGAAGCACATACCAGGACATCACAGAACTGCAAAAGTCTTCTATGGAGTAACAATGAGAACGGAAAGCGTTTTGGGCATTTCAGCTTTTTCTTTCTGTTGGAAGAGGTCAGAGGACAATAATTTTTCCTAGAAGCTAGAAATTTCTGTCTTAAATTGTTTCTGAGAACGACTTCCAAAAAGGGGAAGGTTTGTCCCACCAACATGGGCAAACAGGGGATCAATATGGGTCCACGGAACCCTCGAAGGGAGAGAGGGCGGTTACAGAACAAGTTGCCAACATGTAGGGGTTTTGTAGCTCGAACTGCCTACCTTTGAGGTGGCTATTTATGGCCGACGCTGCGCGCGCCACGCAGCGAGCGCGAGCCGCTTTTGCGGTCTGATTCTAATGTCATTCGGTCGACCGGGCGCACGTGGAGCCGCGCGTTGCTGGCGCCGGGCACGCGGAAGGGGGACAAAATCAACCAGGCGGACCCCAAAACGGTTGGGAGTATCGGTGAGTGGGGAGGGCCGCTAAACTGTTCAAGCCCGACAACACGTGATGGCTATTCTGAGAGATCGTCCAGAAAGTACGTATGTTCTTCGAGAGGCATCCATTAAATTTTCGGGAGCTCGGCGCCTGCGAGACTAGGGGTAGGCCACCCTGTAGTACACGTATGGACTGCAGACAAGGTGTTGCTTACATATCAGGCGCTATGAGAGCTTGCTTTCTCTCGATCTTTCTGGATGTTCCGTAACTCAGAGAGGGGATTTAGAAACTGCTTTCTCTGTGGTTTCTCCTCGGCTGGATCTGCCTAACTAGCTAATAGTGTACCCTTTAGCTACAGGGGAAGAAGAGTATAGAGTATAAAAGGTTCATGATTGGTAGAGTCTGAACCCCTACCGGAGTGACGTAGGTGAGGCGGGAAGGTCTCGACCGATCAAGAACGTTTATGTTTTACACGCTATTCTTCGTCACCCTGGTCGTTACCTGAAGAACACAAAAGGGTATTTCGCTGAAGGAGACCGGAACCGAAAGAAAGTAAGGACAGACAAGCTAATTATGCCTGCTCCTACGCGCTTATTGGCAAACCTTTTCACTTATGACATTGCTGGCCAATCAAGGAACGAGACGTATTAAGCGTGATGTTCTTCGTCGGGTTCCGGGTTTTTAGCGGGATAACCTAGTAGACTCCCCCCACGACATTAGTATATGAGGTCGGCTTTATCCAAAAGAACGAAGCGCCTAAATGTATCCCAACTCGGATAAATTGTTCTGTGCCACATACAACTAAGCGTCATCATTATGCAGTTGCGACTTACCGTTTCAGGGAGCCGGGACAAACGTTGGGAACGGTGTACGGGTCCTCGCTCCGCTCCCTGAGCTTCGAGCGGATCAGCGAGGTCGATGAAGAGGAAGAAGAGCGGAGTGAGATTGCTGCCACCTCCAGATCCTCGCGGTCCTCGCGGTCCTCGCGGTCCTCTAAGTCCTCCAGGTCCTCCAGGTCCTCCAGGTCCACCAGGTCCTCGGCCTCCAGCCCTCCGTCCTCGCTGAGGTCGGGCTTCGGGGACTTCACGTCATCTGACGCCTCGGTTCAACAAGACGAGGACGTCACCGAAGGCGCGTCGCCCATCGAAGATGACGCGACGCTGGCTGACCTATCCACCGTCTCCAGCTTGTCCGACGGGACGGCCGACGGTGACCTCTACTGGAAGCAGGACGAGCTTCAGCGCCTCGTCGATGACATCGGGGAGGACGAGGACTTGGTCGAGGCCGTGAGCGAAGCTAACGACGGCAACCTCGACTTAACTCCCGACGAGCAGATCGTGGAAGTCGCCGAGGAGAACACTCTTCCGTCCTCGAGGCTGGATGGGGGTGTGAATGATGATGATGATGACGACGACGACGACGTTCTTTTACCGCCGAGCGTTTCGACGGCAAGCCTGGTGGACGATCCGGACGCTGTACTGGAGACGCTCGCCCTGGGCTGCGTTCTCGAGGACGCCGTCGATCAACTGTGCATCCTGGCACACACCTCTCGCGCTGCCAAGCTGGCCCCAGATCTGGCCAACCAGCCGCTCAACGAAAGGTAGGTTAGGTTGTGCATGGTCCATGGCTTCATTTTACCGAAGCGACGCGTCCTGAGAACAAAGTTAGATCTTTTTTCAAGATGTACACATACCGAAGGTATAGAAGACAGATTATTTTAGTCTTAATTTATTATTTGGATCGGGATGGGGGCGAATACCACGTGACTGTTAAAAATTGCTATTTGACTAAATTTTTCTGTTCGAACTACAGGACACGTCACACACTTAGCATCTGTTATTTGTATTTGTTAAACAGAACTCTAACCCACACCTGATAAAGATATTTTGACAACCTTTAACGGCGGACACACTTTCATCAAGGACTGAGTTGGACTGAGATGCGCTAGGGCCACACAGCCACACAGTGACTGGGTCTGGGTGTGATTGAGATGTAGTGTAATTCTGCAGGGAAAAACTTGCTTGTGCAACTTTACAACAGAATCAACAGGGGTTCTACTATGGGAGAGGTAGTTCACTAACCTCAAAAGCTGATGTGGTTGTAGCAGTCCAAAACCGTTCGCTACTGAATGACGATGCAAGATTCCGCGGTCAATGAAGTGCAACTTATAGGAGATTAGAATTCTAGAACAGCCGTAACTCCCATCGAAGTGTTCCACCCAAATTTTATTTCAAATTTAACGATAAACACTAGATTACTCTTGTGACGATGCTTTGTTACGCTCCACCCGCGCGCGACGACTAGACTACAGTCGCTTCGCTATAAGGATTAACTTTAACATTGCGTGTCAAGAAAATAGTCCCTACCATCGTGATGGACTATCTTCTAATTTAACCAACGCACGGCTGTAAACAAAATACTAAACAACGGAGAAAACTTTATCGATAAGCACTAGACAAT